AACTCTTTTACTGATAGGAAAATTTGATACTCAAAAGAAATATAAAGGATTACAAAGAATGTTCTCTACACATTATCTATGTAAAGAGAGCATATGATCAAAAGCACAGGCTTCAGAATTGGCCTGCCTAGGTTTAGCTCCATCCCTTATTAGCTGGGTGGCCTTGGCCAAGTTGCTTAACCTCTCTGAGCCTGTTTCCTCATATGTGAAAGTGTAACAGAGAAGAACAAACCTGACTCCATACTGGATCTATTCCTTTAGCTCTAACCCTTGTGCTCTGTAGCCTGTGCTTACTCATGTTGGCTTTGCACCTTTTGTAAAAGAATGTTGCCTATAGCCTGAAATATACAGGATAGCCTAGTCTCAGGGCTCTGACCTTTAAAGTTATAACACTTTTCCATTAAACATTTGCAGAACAGAGAATAATATTTGTCTTGTTGGAGGTTTATAGGAACATTATGACCAGACCTATGTGCACAGCTGCTACAACAAAGGATTCCAGCACCAAGAAGTTTGCAGCTACCAGCCACACCCCCTCCCCTTTTAGTATAAAAGAAGCCTGAATTCTAACTCAGGTAAGATGGTTCTTTGGGACACTAGTCCACCATCTTCTCTGTCTGCTGGTTTTCTGAATAAAGTCTCTATTCCTTGTCCCAACACCTCATCTCTCCTGATTTATTGGCCTGTTTTGTGGGGAGCAGTACAAGCTTGGACTCAGTAACAAAAGATAATAATAGTATCTATGACATCAAATTGTTGAGATAGATATATAGATACACAGGTAGATTTAGATGGAGATTACATGCAACAGTGCTTGGTACATGGTAAGCACAATACATACATGCCTGTTTTTAGACTAAAGATAAGTTTATTATAAACCTTAGGGTAATTAAACTGACTACTTAAAGCCCAGTATAACAGATGTGTTAAAAGCATTTTAAGAGCATAATACAGAGCCTCTGGAAGCATGGCTATTTTATAATAATTGACATGATAGTGGTTAGTCCTGGGAAGCTATTTCAACTTGAATCCTTAAATAGTTGAAGAAGAAAGAAAAGGCAGGAGGAGCAAGTGGTACCAAACTATCTTTGTATTCCCTGCACCGCACTCCCAGCAAAGGACATGCTCGGCCCTACCCCACCCTGCTCTGTCAGTATGACCACTTTTTTTTAAATTAATTTATTTTATTTTGTTGCGTCAGCTCCCTAACTGTGGCATGCATGTGGGATCTTCCCTGACCAGGACCCCCTGCATTGGGAGCACGGAGTCCCAACCAGGGAAGTCCCAGTATGACCATTTTTAACTCATCATTTCATGTAATGCATTAAGGTTGATAAATCTCCTCACACCAAATCTTTACAAGTGAGATTGGTCTGTGGTGATCAGGTTTAGATGTTAAAGTTACACTAGATTCATAAAATAAATTGGGGAAGTTTCCACCTACAGTTTTGACTAGTTTAAATCAAGCAGTTAAAACACAGCTATGATCCCCTCTGGCCTTGCTGTCTTTTTTCGTGGTAGAGCCTTAATTACATTTCCTATTTATGGTGGAATTAGTCAATTAAAATTTCTATTTCTTTTTGGGCAAATATTCATTCTTTATCCTAAAGTTTCGTAACTTTAGGATAATGTGTCTTGGTGTTATAACTCTTGTTAATCCTCCCTCCCCCCCGCCCCGCCCCTCGACCACCCTCCC